ATAAAAATATATATATATATATATATATATATATATATTATATCTTTTCATTTTTTTGTCTTCCGTCTTTTTAATTTATATTGTTTTAGTATTTTTTAAATTATTTTATTTAATTTTCTCCATTTTCTTCATTTTTCCCTGTAATTAAAACCGATAAAAATGCTACCAACAACTTTGATAATAAAATGTAATTGAAAACATTGATAGTCGTAAACCCAAAAATTAGAGGACTGTTCTACAACGGATATAAAATTGAAACTAAAGACGCTAAGTCTAGATATTATAATATTCCTTTTCTTTTTACTCAAAATTTTTGTTTCCAAAAATTATGTTACATCCTGCTCAAGAGCATGAACTTTCGAACAAATCTCATTATCGTGTGATCACAATCAAGAGATTCTCTATATTTTAGCATTGTTAAAATAAGTATTAGTTACTATATATACCTTTCTTTTGCTCAATACCATATTTCTATTTTTTATTTTAGGAATGAGTTTAGCATACCTTCTCCGCAAAAAAGAAACCCAGTACGATGTAACGAACTTTCACACTCAAAAATTTACAAATGTTTCAATAAATAGAAACAATCTCCTTGATAAAATTTCAAGTGCAAGTATTGAAACGTCTAAAATAGAGACGAACCAAAGTGCATTAATTCAGCTAAATCATGTGGAAATGAAGCCACGTCATTCGACGGATAAAATAAACATAAACGACAACCCAAACACTAAGAATTTAGTTGAACAAATTACGTCGAAGTTTAAAAAACGCAACAAAGCGCCTCATTTCCGCGTGCGGCGCAAACACTCATGGTGGAATAAAATATATCATCTTGTTCATTTGAAAAGAAAAGCAATCGCTGCGACGACATTAAAGCATTCTGAAGTGCAACAAATTAATGAAGAGCCCAAAACGAATAAAGACACTAAAAGTGACGTACTGTTAAAACCAGAGAACTTAGGACTGCAAAATAACAACCGCACAATAAGTGGTTCTATAAGAGATAGTAACTCTGGTCGTAGAAAAAGTTGGCAGCTTTCTAAGCCTTCTGTAAGTAACTGGACACGAAGTGAACTTATAGCGCCGCCCACTGTTAAAGTCAACGCCAAAACTGTCAAAAGTAGGAGGAAAACGTTGTCAGACGGTATGCTTTTCAGCTCCAATTTTAACCGTGAGAAACCGTTTTCGTCGCATGAGAAAGTACCTGGCATTCTTATGACTGGGTCAGATTTAAATTGTAACGAAGTTTCGCCAGATATCTCGCCAATGTCTTCAAACTATTCTCTGACACCGTCCACAACTGATGAGGAAGAAGACATGGACGACACTCTGGGGAAGCCAAGTGCCATGCGCAAAGTTACTTTGCAAAGTTTGCAATGCCAAACCACGCTTTCAGAGACTGCTGAACTGCCAGTGGAAGTGAAAGAAATGATTGCAAGCATTGTTTCTGGAATTAAAGATAAAGTCAATTCTATTATAGTGAGTGTTTTTTTTTATGATTTGCTTGTTCTGTGAATTTAAATCTTAACATGCATATTAAAATTATCACATCCTAAATATATTTCATATAAGCTGAGTTCCAATTATTACACAAGAAGTTACTTTCACAGAAAACATGGGTTTTAATTTAAAATTGTAGTTTAGAATAGCTGCTCTCAATTTTCGTCCCAAACCAATCGAGAAACTGTAGACTACTTCCCTCGGGTTAATCACACAATGGATAACCTAGCGCAGCGAAACCTAGCTAAGGAACCTAGAGCAGGTGACCAAAGTACCGGAGTCGGTATGGCTCAACATCCGCAGTGAATATCTTCAAGAACCTAATTGGCTCTCTTCCTGCTCGTCGCGAAGCCATCCGTTCGGCGGAAAGTGGTTAGTCTGTCTTTGAACATGTGGTTGCATTAATGTGACTGATGACTGCACTGTATATGTTTACAATTGAAAGTAAACTTTATTTATAAAGTCAGGAATCCGTTAAAAGAAAGTCGATTAATTAGGATTTCGTAACCAAAAAATTGGGAATCTCTAGTTTAAGGTTATGTATCTCTAAGAGGCCTCATTTTCTTATTCAAGGCATCTGTGATCATAGATTTCAGGGCAAAATCCTTAGATTTTTTAAAAAAAAAAGTCTAACAATTGTAAATGCATTATCTGGATAGTCAATCAGCTAAGACTGGAATCCGTACAGTTAGAGCCCACGACAAATTGTCCTCGCGACGAATTGATGTGTCAGCATTTTAATTATGAGTGGAAATATTTCAGTCTTATGACTGAAATATTTTCTTATTTTAAAATTATTATACATTTTTTCTAAAATTATTATATATCGTTTATATTACATTTTTAGGTTCAGTCTGAGAAGAATACTATTTTAGAAATCATTGATCTGAGAGAAAGAATCAAACAACAAGATGCCCTCATACATTTTTTGGAAGCCCAATGTTCTCAGCAAGTAAGAAACACTTACTTAAAGTTACCTTTTAACTGTCATTCCGTGTATATAGTTTTTATTGGCAAGCGCTTCCGTACTTAAATAAGCTTGGTTAATCTACTTTTTATTTATATATATATATACTAGGAGGCTTCGCCCCCTGCTCGCTGACGCTCACCAACCCCCGGAACTGCTTTCGCAGTTCATTTCGGATTGCTTCGCAATCCGATGCTCGCTTTGCTCGCTCATTGGATTCGTTCTTAACGTCTAGTTTTTGTATACTTTTTTGAATACTGAAGTTCCGAAAACTTTTCACTGTAGAAAATTCTAAACCTGTACATTTCAATATTAATTTGAAATTGCAAACAGTTCACATATTTTTCTTAATCACACTATTCTAAATTTCAGTTGTTGAGAAAAGTAACTGTTGTAAGTTTTGTTTTAAAGTCTTTCCCANCAATGTCATCAACAAGAAGAACTAATTGGACATCTACAAAAAGAAGCCGAATTGTCATATTGAGAGAAAATGGCCTCTCTTATGCTGAAATTGCAAGACAAGTTGGTGGTTCAGTGAGTTGTTCTGGTGTACGAAAGTTCTGTTTACGTTATGAAAAAACGAAATGAGAGGAAAATAAAGCCAAATCAGGCAGAAAAAAATGCGCAAGTGATACTGCCGATGGAAAAATTAAACGACTATGCCTTCAAGATAGAAACATTTTATCGGATGCCATTGGATGCGAAATGAATGCAGCGGGCATTGCAGTAAGTTCGAGAACAATGAGAAGCAGGTTATCAGGATTTGGACTACAAGCTAGAATTTCAAGGAAAAAACCATATTTAAATCAAAAGCAACGCGAAAAACGAGTTAAGTGGGCAAAAGAACACATTAAATGGTCATAAAATCAATGGACGCATGTAATCTGGAGCAATAAGAGTAAAATATCACTCTTTGGTAGTGATGGTAGCAAATACATGAGACGTAGAGTAGGTGAAGCACTTCATCCTGATTGCATTGAAGCAACTACAAAATACCCAACAAATGTCATGATTTGGGCATGTATGTCTGCAGATGATGTGGGCTGAATTCAAGTGGTTGATGGCATCCTGAATGCCAAGAAATACGTCGAAACTGTCCTGAAACCGAAATTGATACCTTCCATCAGGGATCTCTTCCCCAACAACGCACCATTTATTTTTCAGCAGGATTCAGCTCCATGCCACACAGCAAAAGTATGCAAAGCATGGTTTCAAAATAAGGGCATAGATATATTACCATGGTCAGGAAACAGCCCTGATCTCAATTCAATTGAAAATTTGTGGTGACGTTTGAAAATTCTTGTTCGAAAAAAACGTCCATCTAATAAAAGACAACTTATTGAAGCTATAATTGGTTCTTGGCACCATGTGATTACGAAAGATGAATTCCAAACACTCGTTCACTCGAAGAAAAGACGCTGTGAAGCTGCCTTAAATAATAAGGGTTATCCTACTAAGTATTGATTGTGTAAGTATCACTTTAAAAAAATGCAAATCTAAGATAGTTCTTACTATTAGTTGCATAACTTTTTTTTCTAATACAGTCATTGTAATACTGTATTTATTATTAAATTCTACATTAAATTACCTTCAATTTGATGTATAAACGTTTGTATTTAAGTGAAAATTAATATATTCTACAAGCACACAAAGTTGAAAAATATGAAACTTTCAAAAAATGTCCACACTTTTGGCCACCACTGTATATAATGATTCGCAGGGTGTTGTGTTCATTTCTTAGCGGTCGTAAGTTCAATCCCATCAGGCGGAAGAAGAGACTCTCCGTGTAGTAAATAGTGATTGGGGCATGTTAATTCTGTCGGGTCATAAAGGCCTCCAAGTTCTCATGACAAATCAATACCTAATCTTTCTCTGATTCAGATCAAAATTACGATCTGTGGTTGTAGGAATGTGTTTGCCCTTTAAAATGGTCTGTGACGTGTGTGCGGGTGAAATCATATTCTTGGTCATAGATGGTGCCACTGACAAACAGGAAACGCACCCTCTGCCTTAGATTTGGTTTAACCCAGCAAACTTGCTGTTAGATGGAGAAAGTGGCATTAGAAACAACAACTATATATAATAAAATTTCTCTAGATTGAAAAATCTAAATATCAGCCTTTTTTATTAGTTTAGCAACTTTTGTTTTTACTACTCAAAAACTGTTAAGTCCAAGAAAATTGAAATCAAGAAAGTTCGTAAAAATTTTACATAGCATACGATGAAACAAGAAATAATAATAATACTTGATAGTTAGTAAAAGAATTATTAACAGTTAAGCTTGTAGCAAAAATAACACAGACCGGAAAATGCAACTACACAATTGAAATTTGAATTGCTGAAAAGATGATATTCATTTGTGAACTTGGGAATTTATTAATTTGTTTGTTTTTTTTCAAAATCTCATTTTGTTCAAAAATTATTGCTATTTTAAATGTTTTTGTAATTTGTTTGGTTCAACTTTCTTGTTTGAATTACTATTCATTGTCGTAGAAAAATTTATATCTCTCGACATCTTCATTTTATAAGCTCTTTTTCCCTGTGTAGTAAATGGTGACTGGCGCACGTTAAATCTGTTGGGTAACAAAGTCCTCCATGTTCCCATAACAAATCGTACCTCTGGGAGCACTGTGGAGATGGATCGTTGATGAATGAATGGCTGTATGAATGGGGCGCCCTCTAACGAGTGTGACATGTGAGCGTGGCAGAATTCGCATTCTTGGTCATAGATGGCTCCACTGGAAAGCAAGAACAATTGCACCCCTTGCCTTCATGGCCTGCAATAACAACAACATAAGCTCTTGCTTGACTAGATATCAAAAGTAAAAAGAAAATAAATAAAGATAATAATTAAATAAGAGAATATATCACATGGCTGGATCCAGTTTTCCCACATTAATTTTCTTATTGGTTTGGTTGTCATCAGCATAAAAGTCATGAAGGTATTGTTTTCCCATATCTATTTTTGCATCTTTAATTTAAAGGTATTTACCTGTACTGCTACTATTATGTTTTTGATTTTGTTTGTTTTCTAAATTAAGAGTTTAAGAGGATTGTTTTTATTATTATTATTTTAGAATAATGTAATTCTATGTTACATTTTAAGATAAAGTTATTTAAATGGATGTCTGATCTTATTAACCGTCTTATAATTATTATTTTTTTGGTTCAAATGACATAAATGTACTTTAATGAATGATGGTTAAAGAGATTCGTTAAATGGTTTAGAACTTAACATTCAGCCTCACGCACAAAGTGATGAATGCAAACATTGTATTTAAAATATGCATCCGCTCGTTTGGTAAGCAAAAACATTAAATTACAGTTGTAAACTCACCGAATTTCTCATAACACTAAACTTTTAGTTTTAAATGTTATTTCGAAAAATGATTACTTTAAAAAATGATTTATGCTCACTAATAGATCTTTTAATAGTGTAATAAAGGAAATAATTGGAAGTGGGAAGTGGTGGCACAAGTGTTCTTTTCAGTACATGTATTTTTAGTTGAATAATTTCAACTGTTTTAGGCCAAGAAACAGCTTTTTGCAGAGCAATCACCGGAGTTGGTGAGCGTCATCGATCAGGGGGCCGAGCACCCTAGTTCATATGTACTATTGCAAAACATTGTTCATCTTGCTCTTTCATCTTGTATGATGCTAATTGCGACTATCTTGTTAAAATTTATTTAAGTTAAGTTTAAAATTTGAAACCTCTTATTTTTATCCTTGAAGGGTGATACATTTAAAATGCTGATAAAATGCTTGCAACCTATCACCAAAAAATAAGATTTTCTACACGTATTCAATACTAATTTTATCTATAGTTTATATCTATAATCTTTCTAGCACCCCCTAAAAGTTTTCGCTGCTCACTGGGGGGGAGGCGATAACCTATGGGTCGGATACTTATGTTTTAGATTCCCATACACTGTCGCAAAAGTAACAAAAAATGAAAATTTTCAATATTTTTTTACCTAATTAACTGTTATGGCTTAGTAAAAATAAAGCGTTTCTTTTGTATTTGTTTCTTAAATTCTATAGATACTAATTCTACCACATTGCCTACTTAAATTTTAAATTAAAATCTTTTTCTTCCTCTGTAACGAATTCAAAAATTTTTAGAATATTTGAGCGATACAACTTGACAGTCAATGCCAATACTTAGTTTTTCTAATGACCCTCTAGTTTTCTAAAATCTTTTACACTGATTAAACTTTCTAAAAGAATTGTAAAGAAAAATATTTAAAAGAATGAAGATTTCTTTACATTCTTTCACAAAAATATGAGCATTTCTAAAGCTAATATTGAAGCAAGACTGAAAGTGATTTCATTTAATTCATTCGAGAAAAAAAAAATTAAAGATCTCCTTTCATTGATAACAAACGTAATTACTTTTTTGGGTTAGAAAAAAAAATTAGCTAAGACAAAAGTTCCTTAAATTCATCCTTGAATAAAAAGAAAAGTAACTTCGGCTGAAGTTTGAACAATTTAAAAATAACTGGGAAAAGTAATATTCTTTTTCTAGTTTTTACTTACACGTAAATTTTATTTTTTAATCCTTTTTCAGAGAATTGTTTTAATTTTATGAGTTTCCTTCGACTAAGTTGCTGGTTTACTAAAAAAAAATCAAGGAGTATATTTTTCAAATATAATTTGATGTAAAAATATGAGAAAATTAAAATAAATAGCATTAACTCATATTTTAACTATAATATTAACTCGCACTTCAACCATAATATTGAGTCATATTTAAACTATTGACGTACATTTTAACAATATTACAACGATTATAGTGACTGATATTTCGACTATAATATTAACTCATAGTTCAACTATAATAACAATTCCTAATTCAACCATAATATTTACTCATATTTCTGCTATAAAATTATTTTTATTTCAAGTTTACCATGCATTTCAACTATAATATTGATTCGTATTCTAATTACAACATTTACTCATATTTCAACTATACTAAACTAAAC